CCGCATTCCACATATGGCCAAGAAGGCTTCAAAACAGCAGACCAAAAACAAATAGGTGACGTCATGACGACTACTTCCACTTCTTATGTACAGTCTGTATTTAGGAGTAAGCTGGTAGAAGGGTCAAAAACAGGGCTTTTCATTTTAAGCCAAAACATTATGTTTGAAGGTAAGTAGTAACACTTCTTCATTGAATTCTCAGAAAAAACGTTCAAGACCTTATTTTATATTCTCAAATGTTAAAGATTGTTAAGAAGAAGTGAATTACACAACACATACAAAAAGACACAGAAGAAGACCAGAGGAGAGCTTTCCCCCTGTCTCTCGTCCTATTTACAGTAAATGACACTTTGTGCCCTCCAGCAAACAGAGCATGGAAATCTGGCCTCTGAGCATTATGGGCCCCCGCTCCGGCTGGCGGCTATAATATCATTAGCATTAGTGCTGCAGCTCTCGCCCTGACCCTCCCTGACATCACTGTGCAATGTCCAACTCTGTTAGCCTGCCAAAGAAACAACAACAAAAAAGAGCATTGGCTCTTCAAGGGCATGTCTCACTTCCTCTGGACTCCAGCTCCCCTCTGCGAGGAGGAGGAGGAGGAGGAGGAGGAAGGTAAATTTCATCTCACACCTACAGAGTGAATCAACCTGTCAGGAACTGGATGGAACATAACACAGATTAATGTCACTTGCACCTTTTAGTCCAGTGATTGTTCCGTATATTCAGATAAATCGATGTTGTTTTGCACCATTTTTAACTGTTTGTCACTCCGAACCAGTGACACTTAAACTGGTGTCCCAGCAAATAGTTTTACAAGCAATCTTTGATCTAATTATTTCCTCGTAGCCTGCAACCCCACAAAATAAAAGTCATCCTGAAACATCGTACATGGGGCCTTAGAACACCTAATTAAAAGATTAACAACTCCCCAAATTAGAAAACAGGGCACAACTTCCAATCTGTGATCGCACAGGTAATGTCTTGTTTCACAGACACATACCTGCTGTCTAGTTGATCCAACTCACAGAGAAATATGTGACAAGTGGAAGAAGTTATGAGAGAGAATACAGAGAGACAAAAGGGAGAGGATGCGCCTAAGAAGAGGCCAGAAGAGAGAGAGAAAAAAACTGACTTATTCATAAAACATATAACAAATGTGAGATTCAGACACCTGCACAGGGGCCAGGTGCTGCTTTATGAGAAAACCAGTACCTCTAAGCCTCCTCCCCAACACACACACACACACACACATATACTCACACACACAGACACACACACTTTCTCTTTAATGTAATCCGGGCTTGTAAAATGACTTCTGCTTATGAATTCTGAATAAAGATGGCCATACATTTAATAAAGCCCTATTCATTCAGACTGCTACGTTGACATATTTTCCCCCTCAAATTTATGGAGAGCGGCTTGTGTCCGTGAACTCAGATAATGGCAAATCAGGATCTCAGCACTTTTTCTAATAGAAACTTTTTCCTTATTTGATGAATCTGCTGGCCGCTAAACTTAGAGGGAAGCACTACTATCAAACAGAGCTGCATTCATGCTGTGAGTCCTTTTATTTTACTTATTTAGTCTTTTTCTGGGAACGACCTCCCTCTCTCCGCACTCAACACATACATAAAACACACCACAGTCCTGAAGAATGAACCCCTTTTGTCTCACAAATAGATTTGCTTTGTATATCTGCACATGTGAGCACTTCCTCACACACAAACACACTCACAGCAGTATGTCAGGCCCTGAAAGCAATGCTTTTAGGGCGGTGGTGTAGAAAGGTGTCTGGTGTTCTCTTTACAGGGAAACCGGCAGTAGAATAAACCTGGTGGTGTTATTGCAAACCTGTGTTTCTTTCTCAGGAATGTCTTCGAGACATGCCACGACTGTCTGTGTCTTACATGCCGTCTTCGCCGAGGCTTCTTACTTCGAAGAGAGAGAAAGAAAATATGCTCACTGGTGTATGACAGAGCTGTATCTGTGCAGGAGTCAAAACGACCAGGTAGTTTCTACAGAAAGAATGTTTTGATAAATTGTCAGTTTGAGCTGCTTTGTATTTCAAAGCAAGCTCATGAGCCTCGGAAAAAAGGGTTTCAAACGGGTTCCTCCTGAAAAGCTGACGCTCTACCCAGAGCCTGGGTTCTTGTTAGCACCCATAGAAGGTGTAAAGGTCCTGGATAGAACCTTAAGGTAGGGTTCTGGGTGGAACCATTGCACCATAGAAGAGTTCTACGTGGAACCTCTCATAGGTGGTTCTGGGTGGAACCCTTCCCAGAACGGTACAACCCTTTACAGTGGATTCTAGGCAGAACAGGTGGATCTTGTATATCCTTTAGCAGTAACCCGAAAGAGGTTCCCCTATGGCGACAAGCCGAAGAACCCTATATCGTTGTAGTTGTAGCACCTTGTTTCTAGGAGTGTTTGTACCTTAAACTCTGTGTCATACTTGTATAATTAGCAGAAAGTGGAGGTCAAGGTGTTTTCTGACTCTATTAATCCATTTACAAACACGCATGTCAACATTAGGGGGTTTTGTTGAGCAGTTTGAGAGTCTGTACTGATATTTTTGGAGTCTCCCAGTGGTCGATTACAGCGTGTTATCTCCACTTTACAACAGCAGGCAGAGGCTGTGGTTTTAGCAGAGCACACAGGGTTTTATGTTTGACAGCTCAGCTTTTATTTTTATGGCTGTATGAAGGCTGATGCCAATATATTTTACAGTGAAGTTGCCAAAAGCCAATATTTTGTGTTGATATTCAGTGTCTGGAACAATTGGCCATTTACGAGGCTGGAGCTGTTTCTTATAGCATTTCTTCATTCCAAGACTTTCTTTCAAATCGGTTCTCAGTAACATAGAAAAACAAGAACACACACACATTACACTTTCTATTACTTTTCTCTGTATAGTGCATTATAAACATACTTATAATGTGTTATATTCTGTTTATAGCATTCTATAATTATAGTTATAAGCACTTATACATATTCATTATGCTTTATAACAATAATCATGACACATTATGAAGCATTTGGTCTCAAACAGAATACACGTGAGGTGTCACACAAATGTGTGAACAAAATGTTAACACAAACCTCTAACTAATTTGACACTGCATGACCCCCCTGCTTACTTTAACACATGCACACAGTTACAGAAATCATCGGTACTGGCGCTTTAAGCATCACAACTACATGCCTAACCCCAACACCTCCCCTAAACCTGATTCTAACTATAATCTTAAAACCAAGTTCAGTCATTCAAAGAAGTGAGAACCATTTAAAATGTCCCTATTTAGCAAGTCGGAAACTTAAACTGGTCCTCACATAGACAGAAGTGCAAGAACATACACACACCCACACACATACACTACTACTGTACTTGGGAGCACACAGCATTGACACACTTATTTTTAACCCTTACTTTAACCTTAACTAAGCCTTAATTCTATCACTAATAAGTCTTAACCATAAATAAACTGGTGAACCTTGTGGGGACCTCAATTTTTGTCCCCAGATGGAGGAGAGTCCCCACATTGTGACGATGTGAACTCCACACACATCCCATCCCATGTGTTCTTGATGGGGCCACAAGATGATTAAAGGGACAAGAATGATTTTCTTCATCACACACAATCAAATTATGTCTTGAGGGTCAAAGTTCATGCCTGACCTCGGAGAACAGTAGTTTACACTCTTAACTAAACGGCAACTTACTTGCTTTTTCCCGATCTCATGGTCTTCATCAGCAATTGGAATTAGTTGTCTGTGGAGTTATCATCACATGATCTAAGTGTGAAACTTTGGTAACGAAACTGGTGAAGGACCAAACAGTTAAAGGACAAAACAAAATCAGATGGAAGCTCTTTAAGACAGCAAGTAAGTGGACATTGAGCTCATATTATTTTGTCAAAATGTAGTTTTTTTCCACTGAGTCTCTGAGATTTGCTTGTTTATTGTTCAATCGTTATTTCCTCTTAAATCCTTCAAATAAAACAATCAGAGACTAAAAAGTGTTAATGTCCATTATGAGGTCATGAGTAGACATTGCTTCATTTTAAAGGGCGAGAATACCATCATGTTGCTTACCGTAAAGTAATTTAAGTCACATTTAGTTGTTTTTTTGCTGTCTGTAAAAAAGGAGACAGTGTTGGAAATTTGATGATGTGACAGACAGACAAGTGTTGGAGCTGAAAACAGGCGGGTGTTGTGAGGTAAAGTGTGTTTAGAGACACGCAGTGAAACTTGGTGATTTGTTCCCCCTAGGGTTCGTATTTTATTCATCAGGACTTGATGCATCCAAGTATAGGATCATTCGGTTTTGGCACCTTTAAAGATTTCATTTTCAATTTGAACAACACATTAAAAATCAAAAGAAACAAAGAAATGACTAAGGCTGTGTGAGTTTTAAAAATAAAATACATACATACATATATTTATATATTTATAAATAAATCAACCAAACCATTTAAAAAAGCAGTTTTGTTCAATGTAGTTTGTTTGGTTTGTCTCACGAAAGCAATAAATGAACTAAATAAATAAAAAAGAAAACATAAGAAAAATACACATGAAAACATTAATACTTTAAACTTTAGTGTCTTTGCTTTTTTTCCCGTTATAATTATTAACCTTTAAAACTTAAGTTTCTCAAGAGCAGATTTGCTGTAATTTTATAGCATGCATTTAATTTCTGAAATTGTGAGTCACCTAGCTTGTCTTGTACTATTTCATATTTAAGTTGTTTTTATTTTTGTGTTTGGCGTCCTCTTCTTTTCCTTCCCCTCTGCTCCTTCCTTTTTTATTTTGTAGAAGTCGTGTTTGGAGTCTTTGTGAACTTTGACCTCTTTGGTTGGCTCTTTCTGTTGAGGGGTTCAACTCTCCCGTTACGACC